AGAAGAAGAAGAAGAAGAAGAAGAAGAAGAAGAAGAAGAAGAAGAATGGCCAAAGCCATGTGCTTATTACAAAATAGAATCTTGTACGTAGACATATTTCTTTTTACATGATAATGTTTATTCACATTAGAAATATCACATAAGCTATGGAATAAGAAAACATTGCCGGAAACTTTGTGAGGACAATCTGCAACAAACCGGCCCTCCAGGATTCGGAGGTTCAGCTCAGGGCTAACTAGAGGTGGGCAGAATCCGGATAATCTATAGGATAACCGGATAAATCTCAATGAAACATTATCCGAATTCAGACTCTTAACTGTCTTTTTTTCCTGACCCGTTTGCCGAAGTGGGTGCACCCATTTGTTGAAATGATGCTACCCGTTTGTCAAAGTGGTTCTAACCCATTTGCCGAAGCGGTTCATATCATATTATTTGTCGAAGAGGTGCACTAAGATACTATCCGGATTTTGCTAAAGCGACTCATTGCCCAGCCCTAGGGCTAACAACCCACACTGGTAAAAACCATTTGTTACGGAAATAGCAACAAAGAAGAACCATATTTCTGTGTGTGATGGACCTTCTGAGTCCCTTGGGACTCGTATTAGTTTTAGTAGAGGTTTTACGGCCCTCACAATTGCATAAGGTTATGGACTTGTATGATCTTTTCCGGAAATGTAGGCAAGAGGATATGACCACCATAATAACAAGGAGAAGATGGAGATGGATTGGACATGTTCTAAGAAGAGAACCAGACTCTATTGTGAAGACTGCCCTCCACTGGACACCCAAAGGACATCGCAAAAGGGGCACACCCAAAATGACCTGGAGACGCACAATAGAGTCTTTGTTTTGTTTTAGTTACATTTTACGGCGCTCGCAACGCACAATAGAGTCCTGGAATCATTTGTGGGGGACGCTGACCAAGATGGCCCAAAACAGACAGAGCTGGAGATCCTTTGTTGCTGCCCTAAACGCCAGATGGTGTGACGGGTAGTAAGTAAGTAAGTGCAGATAAACTATATTGGTAAGCAACAAGTAACCGTGTCTTGATTAATGCTGATGAAGGGAGCAATGTGTTAAGGAAGCTTAGGACAATGCTGTTTCAAACATCTGGTATGCTGCATACAACACTTTTCAACAGGAACAGCTTAGTACGGCTAAAATATGGCTCTGAAAATATGTAAGCACAATGAAGTCTGCTTAAACCAAACTTAGTTTATCCAAAAACAGCACGCACGCACGCACGCACACACACAATGAATATACAAAAATTAATACAATTCATATGTACGTATAGAAGCTACATATAGAAAAAGACACAAAGGCTGATGGATGGACAGAGTGATGGACGGACACATAAAGAGACAGACACAGACAAGCAGATACATGGAAAGACAGATACATGGAAAGACAGATACATGAAAAGACAGATACAAGGAAAGACAGATACATGGAAAGACATACATGGAAAGACAGATACATGGACAGACAGATACATGGAAAGACAGATACATGGACAGACAGATACATGGAAAGACAGATACATGAAAAGACAGATACAAGGAAAGACAGATATATGGAAAGACAGATACAGATAAGCAGATATTACGGGAGAACAATGTCATGTCCACATGTAAAAGTAAAGTAAAGTTGTTCCCGCATCCGATCCAGACATTAGGGATCCCCTTGTTAGTGAGACAACTTCCTGGGCCTTCGGCATATTGTGGTAGGGTGGCCAGTTCCTTTCCACGCCGCCTTTACTTCCCCAACTCGAAGTCAGGTACCCATTACTGCTGGGTGGGCAGGAGGAGGCAACAAAAAATCCAGGTCCAAACCGAGTTCGAACCCCGACTTTCCGCTTCGGAGACGAGCGCACTAACCGCTCCGCCGCAGCACCCTCATTGACATGTAACTTGTTGCATATTTGATCTTGATTACAGCAAAATTTCTGTCAGCTTAAATATATTGTTGTTAGCGATCCAGTCAGCTTAAATATTAGATGCAATAAAAAGCATTTTATCAGCATTTCCAACAAAACAACCAGCGGAAGATCTTTCGCAGATACACCAATACAGATGTAAAAAAATGTAACAAATTAAACTAACATTGAACAAACATGTTCGCTTGGTTTGGTGTAAATTTGAAGATGAGCAGAAGAACATTTGAGCATGTTTGAGAGTGAGTAGCTCATGAATGCTTGCATAAACATATAAATATGAACATAAATGAATGATCGTATGTACTGATTGAGATTATGTAAGAATATGAAACCATTATTATCACAAGACAGGCGGGTGAACATTCTAGCTTGGAATAACAGGAAAAAATATTTCTGGTAAAAACCTTTACGTAATCTAAGACTACAAGGAAAAAACGACGGTAGTCACAAACTGAAAATCGTGAGGGTACCAATTTTGAACACTTGTTGTTGACTCATAACTATATTTCTGTTCAACTGTTGGTTGATTATTGTTGTTAGATTTCCCATTCAACAACACTTAACAATAAACCACCAGTCAAACAAATATGAAGTTATGAGTCCACAAGCTTTTAAAATTGGCGCCCTCACAATTTCCAGTTTGTGACTACAGTCGTTTTTCCCTGTGCTCTTCATTTGTGATTTAGATAAAACTGACACTTAATAACAGCTAAAACAAGACAAACACATACTTAGCATTTTATCAAAGACAGTTCATTCTGACACCTGAAATTTTAGATTTACAAAATTCTTTCACAGGACATTCATGAGGTCATCCTGCTCCAGTAAAGGGATGTAACTGTGAAATGATAAAGTGCACTCATTTTGGTAGGAGAAAAAGTGAGAATAATCGGTCGTTTACTTTTAAGGACAAGAGGGCTATCCCAGATTTCGGGGGTTCCCAAAAATCTTGACCTATACCAAAAATGTGCACTGCCCTACCTACAGGAGAAGTTTGGTTTCTTTGGTGCGTATATTTGTTTGGTTATAGAGAAAACTCTCCTTGTCTTTTAAAGAAATTGAACAAGGGGCAAAACTTTACCTTCCATTTTCTCAAAACAGCATTTATTATAGCCCCCTTGTGCTTAAAAGCGACCAATTGTTAGCTCGGTGCTGATATAATACGATCATCAGTGACCTCAGTGACCTTACAACATACAGTCTAGCACGCACATGGAGAACACACACGTAGCAAAACACAACCATAGCCAACACATTTCTGAGGGTCCTCACTTTTGAAAATATATTTTACATATACCCTGAATTTGAGCAAAGCCAAATTCATACGAAATAAAAAGAATTTTGTGTTCCACCCATTTCAATACAAGCACGCTTGATAGCAGAATTAAATAGCGTATTTCAGGACAACACCATTCACAATTTCATTACTTCATGAACATCAGCTATGATTTTGCAGAAAGACATTTTCCAGCACAACTTGTCATTCCTTCACAAGAAGTGAACTAGTTCTCCTTGACGCTGTTGAACTGCCCCCGTCGTTTTATGCAAGAAAAATTCTGAAATTATGCAAACTGAGCCCAAAAATGTGAAATTATGCGATTCTGTTAATTTTAACAAAGAGTGATAACGGAAAATAATCGGAAATTATGCAAAAAGTGATCAAATTTTGCTAAATTTTAATTATGCGGGGTGCATAAAACTACGGGGACAGGTTGAAGTTAAAATGGCCTACTCAAAATGTGCAGGTTATTTCAAAGGCTGAGCTCTTAGTCCCCCTCTCTAGACGAAGGAAATATCACAGAAAGAATGACGAACGTAATAATAATAATAATAAATAGCATTTGCACTGCACATTTCCATTTTCTAAAAAATGCTCAATGCGCATTACAACGAAAAAAACATCACATCTTAAAAATTAATCGAGATGCGTGTATGTGATACAAAGTATTATATATATAATGTAAATGTATATGAGTAAAAATTTATATGAGAAAAACAGTCTCGCAGTTAGGTTGGAAATGTGTTCACTAAAAATGTACAATGCAATAAAAATTCACGAACGGTCACAATAAAGTTGAAACGTGAGTAACTAGAAACATTCATTAAAACATTCATTCTCTACAGACAGAAAAACATTTCCAGTCTCTCTCTCTCTCTCTCTCCTCCCTCTCTCTCTCTCTCTCTCTCTCTCTCTCTCTCTCTCTCTCTCTCTCTCTCTCTCTCTCTCTCTCTCTCTCTCTCTCTTTCTCTCCCTCTCTCTCTCTCTCTATACATATATATATATATATATATATATATATATATATCTATATATATATATATATATATATATATATATATATATTTAATTGTGTATATTATATATATATATATATATATATAAATATATATATATATATATATATATATATATATATATATATATATATATATACGAGCTTCAAACTTTGTTGCAGCAGAACGAGTTCGACCCAAAATGAGCCATAATGGCCGAGAATGAGAACATAAAAGAATTAGCTAGTAGTAAATATTATGCTATACATTTCAGTTTAACATGATGGAGATTATCAATTCTTTTCATCTAACAGATAACATCTAATGAATAAAAAACATGCTGTGTGAATTATTTAAATTGAATAATTCTAACGCAGCCAGTCCTATTCCAACTTTCTGATTGCCAGCTTCTTGTTCATGTTTGCGAGAAAAAGGAACAGCCTTTTCAGATTGCACACTTGACAATGTAAAAAAAGAGACATGACAATTGGTCAGAAGATCACAACACGACATCCATAGTGGACGCATTAGTCTGGATGAATTATATCTATTTTCTGTCCAACATACAGATCTTCTGACATGTCCTTTTTAACCCTATCCGTACGTCGTGTTTTACTATCGTATCCATACGACGTGAGGAACTCTGAGCCACCACTTTCCAAAGAGGAAATTTACTCGTTAATCCGATCTGTACACTTTGCATAGCTGTCTGTCAAAATGATTTTTTGAGAAATACTGAAAGTTTCAAAGAGATCTTCGTACTAGTAGTATTCTAAAATGTAAAGATTACAACCCTGTGGGTACAAAATGACCCCAGGGCGTACGGATAGAGTTAACTTTCTGCCACTCAAACTCAAATAAGAAATTTACTCGAAATAAAAAGGTGGAATTCCTGAATATATCCATTTCTCTAATCATGCTTCCAGTGAAGTAGGAATGAGCAACAACAAAAAAAGACAGCATGACAAGTGACAGATACAAGAACAGTTGAAATCATCACAGAAGTACACACACTGAGACTTTACGCTTCAGTATTTGTGCTACTACTGGCTGGTTTGGTTTTCTTCCCTTCATCGTCTTCTTCGATAGTTTCATGAATCACCTTGTCAGAGCCGTCTTTTCCTCCATCTTTCTTCGCAGAATCGTCCGCTGCCATGGACTGTTTCCGATGGTGATGATGAGACGCGCGCCGTTTCTCTTTGTCTTTCCCCGTAGCTTGTCTCCTCCGCCGGGGCATTTTCCAGGCATTCCAAACTCGGATTGTTTCATCCCACGCACACGACACATACTGGGGAAAAATAGAATAAAAATGTCATGTTGAAAGGTAGTCCTTCTCATTGAGAGTGACTCTTACATTCAGGATGTGATGTACAATATGTGATGTGCAATATGTGATGTACAATATGTGATGTGCAATATGTGATGTGCAATATGTGATGTGCAGTATGTGATGTGCAGTATGTGATGTGCAGTATGTGATGTGCAGTATGTGATGTGCAGTATGTGATGTGCAGTATGTGATGTACAATATGTGATGTGCCTAAAGAAAGGTACCCAAAGTCGGATTTTGACAATTTTGAGATAAGAGTTGCACCTTATAGGAAATTCAAAGCTGAACACCGGGGTCTTTGATTGTTTTAGATATCTCAAATAGTTTTTGAGATATTGCACATTTTGCGAGGTAGGGTATAATTAGCTCTTAAGTTTAACAAACGTGAGAACACATACAAACTTTAAAAAAACATTTGTAAAATGTACTTATTCTGGTACCTTCAAAATAATTCCCCCAAAAATATTTAGAAGTCAAATCAATGAAAACTCTTTGAGCACATTGTACAAAAAATAGTGGATCTATCATTTTTTTAATGGAAACATATTGTGGTCTAAAAAGTGATTTTTTAAATTATCAGCCTGCAGCTGGAAGCGGTCTGGGGCAGCTTTTGGTACCTTTCTCTATGCACACACATATTGTCATCATTTCTGATGAGATGGTACCGTATGAATGTCTGTTTATATCATTGCTACCTCAGAATTACACAGTTCTCTCTGCTCAGTACCTAGTTTTGAGAAATTTGATGTCAAAATGTTTGACGCTAACAATATGTCAGGCTTTTTCAAACGTAATTCATGGAATGTCTTGATAACGACTGCGAATAATCTTACGATTTTGAAAGAGCAGACAGAGCAACTGTTTTCTGACCTCATGGTCTTAGTAACTAAAAATGGCCAAAAATGTCAGATAGAACTTTGTAATTGGTCACTTTTAAGCACAAGGGGGCTGTCCAGAAAAATGCTGTTTTGAGAAAATCGAAGGTAAAATTTTTGCCCCTTGTACAATTTCTTTAAAAGACAAGGAGAGTTTTCTCTATAGCCAAACAAATACACACACCAAAGAAACCAAACTTCTCTTATAGGTAGGGCAATGCCCACTTTTGGTGTAGGTCAAAATTTCTGGAAACTCTCGAAATCTGGGTTTGCCCGCTTGTTCTTAAAAGCGACCAATGATGAGATAATGATATGTTACCGTTAATCTAAAGGGCATATGTATGTGTGTTCAGTCACTTGTGCTTTGTGTTAAGATGAAGGGCTTGTAAAGAGCCTTACCAGAATTGTACAGGAGAGGGCCTTACAGAAATTATCCACACAGTATTAGTAGTAAATTTGTGTTTGACCTTTGATAATGAACCCATTGCAGACGTGAGATGGTCACGTATGTACCAAGGAAAGCATTCCAAAAAGGGAAAGTTAAAAGAATTGAGAAAAGGCTGGACATATAAGTGCACCTAAGGAAGACCAAAGATGACATGGAGGCGAGCGGTACAAGCGGAAATGGAAAAGGCGGGGACATCATGGAAATAGCTAGAAAAGGATGCACAGGACAGGCTTCGCTGGAGAAATGTTGATGACCTATGCTCCACTGGGAGTTAAAAAGGGCAAGAGAGAGGGAGATAAGTACACCAGCCAGAAAAAACTTCCTAATTCAACGTCCATCTCCGACAGGACTGAGTCAAATGGAGTGAGAACCTTGACAACTCCACAAAACCACCCATGTTAACTCACTCAACCCTAGGCCTACCAGTTGTCAACTCTCCCTAGAGTTTTTTAACACTTTTTGAAAAATTGAAAAAAATAGTACATTTTAACATATCCTACCCAAATTGGGTGCACATTTTATTCAAACCTACATTTGTGTGTATTGAAATTTCAAAGCAAAATAAATCAGTTTTTACGCAATTCTCCGTGGAAAAAGGTCTATATACAGAGTCCAAAAGTAAACAAAAAGCAAAGAAAGGAAGTGCTTTCAAATTTCGCACCCCCTCACATGTTGCACGAATATAGCTTTCTTTGTTCTAAATTTCGGCTTGCACTTCTGGCCATAGTCTGTTTCAAACAAAAAATGGTTACTCTTCCAATTAGCTATTGTCTGCTTCATACAAAAGTAGTGTTTTTGGTCACGAGAGCCAAATTTTCCATACCTATACTGTAAGCGTTAGGGTTGGAGTGTTGCGCGCGTATACTGATATTATCCCCGTTAGGGCTGGGTGAGTTCAAGAACGCTCCGTTAAGGCTCTGAACCAACGCCATCTACTCCTAAGTCCGGTGTTATGTCAGCGGAGCTAAGTTACCACTCATGCTGTGACATGGTACATAACGTATACGACCGTAGCTCATACTTTCACACATGAAGCATGAGGACTTGCCTTTTCTACCAAAGAAATTTGTCTCATTTACTTTTCCATGAAGAAAGTCTGTAGCTTTATGATAAACTCCGCACACTTTTCTGATTATAATAATAGATAGCTTTTGTATAGCGCAAATCCCCGCTCAACATCAAGCTCTATGCGCTTCACAATCTATACTATTACCCCAGCAGACCTGAGAGCATTCTGAAACAACCTCAACTTTCTGGGAATCATACAGTGAAAGTAGCCATTTACAGGTGCTAAAACACTAACATACTGACAAGATCTTTCACTGTCTATGGCCAGGTACCCATTTCCACCTGGGTGAAATGAGGAAAATTCGGGTAAAGTGCCTTTCCCAAGGACACAAAATCGGGCCCGCGGCTCGAACCCCCAACCCCAAAACCTCACGATTACGAGTCCGGTAGCCTAACCACTAGACCACCGACGCCACAATCTTATCTCAACAATATTATTCCATACAAGCCTATCCAGAAACTTTTCTATGAGAGAGAGTTCCACCCTAAGACAGGCACAGCTACATCACGGACATACATGAGGGCTCCAGTGGCTAAGTGAGCAGCGAGTCCAGACTCAAGTAATGTCAAGCAAGTGTCGGTGACACGGGGATCAGATGGGTGGTCACTGGAGTGTGTCCTTGAGCAAGACACGACAACCCTAGCTCAAAATACAGGGCGCTGCACAGTGGCGCCCGACAGTGGCATTGTTTGTAAACTGTTCTGTATTTGTGTAATAGTGTGTATTTATGTGTGTATTTATGTATGTATTTATGTCTGCATTTAAGCGTGTATTTAAGTATGTATTTATGAATGTATTTAAGCATGTATTTATGTATGTATTTAAGCGTATATTTATGTATGTACGTATTTATAATTAAGTACTTGTGTATGTAAACATATGTTTGCCATGTGCCCTTCCGAGACAAATAAAAGTGTAATTTATTTTATTTTATCTTTATTTTATAAACATTTTTTTATTGAACATCTTCCCCTTCACTGCCCAAACCTGGAAGTCCTTCGACGCAGGCTCCTACACACACCTACAGACTTACAAAGCCTGCTCTACTCTGGCGTTGACCAGATGACAAGGACATGTGGTTACTTGAGGGAGGCATTGCGCTGCCAAGAGCGAAATGCTCGCAGCTAAAGGGATTTGAAAACAACAACAACAACATCTTTATTTTATTATTTTACTATACCTGATTTCTCTCTGGGATGTGAATGATGCTCCTCACTGAGTCTGTGTGGCCAACGTTGCTCTGTACCAGTCTGTACATCTCTGCATCATAAACTCTGTCGAGAGTGTAGGAAAAATAAAAGTAAGAACAACCATCACATTTGCAGGCGTCATCTCCGTTTCTATTTTTGAATGTTTTTTCATGGCACTGAACACTTTTCACCCACGCAGCACGCAGAGCGCATAACACTTATCCCCAAGTACCACGATACAGATGCGGTACGCGCTATATCACACCGGCGCCGATAAGCGTCCCGTGGGGAAAAGGGGCGGCTTCTTACCGTCGCCGATGGGCGCCAAGAGGGTGTAAAGTGTTAAACTTAAAAACACATTCCTGCATGGATTTTACTGGAAAAAACGTTGATCAAAGGCACAAAAAATGTATTTGTAGTTTCCAAGGACATTACAGGTTTGGAAGTCACCAAACTTTGGCGGCCATCTTCTGGCTACTTTTACCTCTGATACCAGGTGACCAACATCTCTTTCAATCACAAATATCTCGACTAATTTTCAAGATAGATACCATGTGTGTGTTCTTCATCAAAAGCAAGGCAAATGAATACGCTTACTTTAACCCTATCCGTACATCGTGTTTTACTGACACATCCATACAACATTGGAAACTCTGTGCCACCACTTTCCAAAGAGGAAATTTACTCGTTAATCCGATCCATATGCTTGGCATAGTAGTCTGTCAAAATGATTTTTGAGAAATACTGAAATTTTCAAAGAGATCTTCGTACTAGAAGTATTCTAAAATGTGAAGAATACAACCCCAGGGGTAAAAAATGACCCCATAGCGTACGAATAGGGTTAAGGTTGTACCAATACTTCCATATCCCCCAAAATTGACAGGTGCCTGCTTTCACCAGGTCATGACACATATAAACATCAGAGCAGAACGATAGTAAAATCTGGAAAAGCTAGCTACTTTGCCGCACTACATTCACTTATAAAACAGATATTTCTTTTAACCCTTCCAGCCCCGAGCGCGTATATTTTCAGCAGCGCTTGTACCTCCCTCCGTCCCAAGAACGTAAATTCTCAGTTTCGGGGGGTACCGAATTCGCGCATTTTTCGAAATTAGCTAACTTAATTAAACTTTAATTTTCTTATTACTTGTTCATTTACATTTAAAAATTGGTATATGTTATTATCAAAGCTACATTACAAAGATACTACATCGCTTTTTAGAATGAATGCCTGTTTTTCTGAAATACTGCTCTGTATTGGCTGGGACTGGGGTTAGGGAGTGCACAAAAAAGGCTGGGGCTGGAAGGGTTAATTCCCTCGATACTGAGCTTCATTTTCCCAGCATAACATCTAAAAATAAGAGTTTGCTTTAGTAACAGTTTTACGGCACTTGCAACACAATAAGGTCATATAAGTGCCGAAGACTAGAAGTGTTACAAAAGAGTAACAAACACAAAAAAGAAGGAGAGATAATGACGAAAGGTGTTTGATAGGAAAGAAGGAGCAAACCACACCAGAGCTCCCCCCAACCACCCGCAATAAGAGTTTTGAAAGCAGTAAAAGAAATACTTATAATTAAAGGTCCTAACCTGGGTGATTGGTGGGTGTTTTGGCGCTGTTTGCTCCTTCCGTCCTATCAAACGGGTTCGGGGGTTTGAGCCTCAGCTCGGTCCGACGTTGTGTCCTTGGGAAAGACACTTTGCACGAATTGCCCACTTGGCTCGGTCCTATCGGAGACGGACGTTAAACTAGGAGGTACCGCCCCTTAAATAACCTAATAGTGTTGATAGGGGGGCGTTAAACCTATACCATTTTTTTTTTATCTTTCCTCTTTTTTCCTATGTTTGTTACTCGCTTGTAACACCTCTAATCTTCAGCACTTATAAGACCTAATTGTGTTGAAAGTGCGGTAAAATGCTTACAAAAAAACAAAAGTCCTAACACTTAGTTTAACTCTATAAGCCCAGTTTTTTTCCACCATTCCCCAGAATTTTTTCTACTGTCACCGAAACCTGGTGCACTATGTCTCATTATAACCTCAAAAGCTTGCCTCCAACTTCTAAATAGCGGAAACAATGGCTTAGTCATTACAAAAAAACTTGGTTCGGGAATAGTTCAGAAAAACAAGCAAAAACTAGCACTCAATAAAACGAAACAGTTGTCACTAGTACTGGACGCTCCCAGCATCCGATGGGGAACCGGGTTATCACCGCCGGACGCTACCAACATCTGATGAGGCTCAAAGAGTTAAGAAACAAAACTAAAAATTTGCCCTTGTTGTTGTTGTTGTTGTTGTTGTTATCGATCCAGAAAAAAAAACCTTGCACTCACTTGATGTTCCTCTGAACTCCGGCCACAATGCTGCCGTGCACGTTGTCAATACAGATACAGGTGACCCCGCCCTGGGTCGTCAGCACCTGCTCACACTCGTTCATGCCATGGCTGGACTGCAATCAAAGACGATTCCATCTATATATTTGAGGCGTGCTGACAAAATGAGTTACTTCTCGCAATCCACAAATGGAGTTATTGGCCAAAAATCTACATTACGATGAAATTTGTAGATTTTCTAATTGATGCCATATTCTTTAACTATAACTTGTCTTTTATCATTTCATACTTATTAATCGTAAAAACTTCACCTATAAGCGGGATGTATCTACTTTCATAGGGCTCGAATCCGAGAAGAAAGTGATTTTGTCTGCATGCTTTACATTTATGTCATCAAAAACATATATCATAGGCTGTTATAAGAATGGGGAAAAAATATATTTTATAGAGTAGTTCAACATTGAAGTCATCTGAAACAAAATTTCTTTAAGGATTTCAATTTCTTTCTCTTAATTCGATTCATTGCAATTTTCCTTAACCTGATAAAAAAGTCCAGCGGGCTTGATTAACATGAAGGGATTTTGGGCCGTTTCATCATTCTTCCCCACTGACTCCATACTCAACCACCGTCCCCCCCCCCCCACCCCTCCGTGTGTGAGTTTGTGTGTGTGTGAGTTTTGTGTGTGTGTGTAAGTGTGTTTTGTGTGTGTGTGTGTGAGTGTATGTCTGAGTGTGTGTGTGTGTGTGTGTGTGTGTGTGTGTGTGTGTGTGTGTGTGTGTGTGTGTGTGCGTGCGTGCTTAAGTGTGTGTGTGTGTGTGTGCACGTGCGCAGGTCTTAATGTGTTTGTGTGTGTGTGTGTGTGTGTGTGTGTGTGTAAGTGTGTGAGTGTGTGTGTGTGTGTGTGTGTGTGTGTGCGTGTGTGCGTGTGTGCATGCTCAGGTCTGAATGTGTTTATGTGTGTGTGTGTATTTGTGTGATGACAAGTGCATGTATGTTCTTGCTTTGTGGAGATCAATAAACAATGCAGTCATTCGTAAATTTGAACTTTCTTCCATGACGAGAAAGAACCACTCACATTGATGTAGAAGTATAGCAAAAATCAACAAATTCAGCTGAGAAATTTTAAAGATTACAGACACAAGGAAATGACATTATCATTAACCATCTCCGTACGTCGTGTTTTACTATCGTATCCATACGACGTGGGGAACTCTGTGCCACCACTTTCCAAAGAGGAAATTTACTCGTTAATCCGATCTGTACGCTTTGCATAGCAGTCTGTCAAAAACGATTTTTTGAAAAATACTGAAAGTTTCAAAACGGTCTTCATACTAAAAGTATTCTAAAATGCGAAGAATACAACCCCAGGGGTACAAAATGACCCCAGGGCCTACGGATAGGGTTAAATCAGCAGACCCTATGACACACACAAACATTCTCAGCTTCCTGGAAAAGCATGTATCGCATTTCTTTCAGAGAACCCAACAGTTTAAAAAGTATGTACCGACCCATATTCTGATAGTGCCATCTTCCGATCCAGTGACCCATTTGTTGCAAATGTGGTTCCATCTGACACACGTGACTTCAGCCTCGTGACCTTGAAGAGTATTCGACAAGGTCATTTTACAGCCCGTCGTGGAAAACTTTCGGATGTACACCATTTTGTCAGCGGACGAGTAGGCAAACTCCATACTGGGGACGGAGGAAGACAAAATAATTGAGAGCTTTGTTTGGATTCAAATGTGTCGCACTTCTAACAAAAAAGGTAAAAATATGAGAGACAGCGTGGTGAAATCAGGCGCTCGTCAAAATAATGAAAACCGAGAAATCAGCATTTTTCAGCCAGTTTGGAAATTTCTTTTGAATTTTTGTTTTTTGCCTCAACACTTTGTGTCTTCATTCAAAAACTTTTATGTGTGGATTTTATGGAAAAACGATTAAACGCACAAAGAATGTACATTTGCAGTTACCAAGGACTATTTAGCTATGGAAGTCACCAAACTTAGGCGGCCATTTTTTCGCTAATTTTACTTCTGAAACCAGGTGGCCCCACCTCCTTCAATCGGAAATGTCTCGACTTCTATTCTAGATAAATGGACATTTTTTTCACCAAAACGAAGACAAATGAACAGGCTTTAAGATGATACTAATAACTCCATATGCCCAAAATTTGACGAGCGCCTGATTCCACCACGTCATGACACATATACCATGACATATAAATCACACGGCGCTATATTGCCACTGCAGCTCTTTAGTAAAATATGCATCATATTGTTGGAAAATATATTGCCAATACACAATAAAAATATATAATTTGCACTTTTACTTTTGCTTCAAAACAATCAGATCTTCTTCGATGGCCCGAAAACATTGCTATACATTTTTCTCCACTGGACTTTATTCAGTACTGTCTTTGTTATCTTCCAAGATCTAGTGTCACTGACACAGGTTAAGAATGAACTTACGTCTTCGGGCTGAAAGCCATGTCCGTTGTTATTTCATCACAGGCAAGCTCATTGAGAAACGACGTTGAGTTGGGGTCCATTTTGAAGGTGTCTTTCAATCTGTAATAAAAAGACGATGATCACTTTTTTTTTTTTTCAACACCCAAATAGCCAATAACTGAGGCACAAAACACAAATCATAAAGAACAGAAGAAATTCAAATCTAGCATGAATGACAAAAATTAGCATCTGTTTAACCCTATCTGTATGTCGTGTTTTATTATCGTATCCATACGACGTGGGGAATTCTGTGCCACCACTTTCCAAAGAGGAAATTAACTCGTCAATCCGATCCGTACGCTTTACATAGCAGTCTGTCAAAATGATTTTTTGAGAAATACTGAAAGTTTCAAAGATATCTTCGAACTAGGAGTATTCTAAAATGTGAAGAATACAATCCTGGGGGTACAAAATGACCTTTCCCAAGGACACAACGTCGGGCCCGCGGCTCGAACCCCGAACCCGCAACCAGACATTTACAAGTCCGGTAGCCTAACCACTAGACCACCGACAACCTCACGATTACGAGTCCGGTAGCCTAACCACTACACCCCTGACTATAATATAGTTAACATAACAGCGACCACAAATTGTCAGTATCATTCTTACTGTCCAGCCTCCAAGTCCCAGAGACACAGCCGTCGATCCCAGCCCCCGCTGAGCTGAAAAGTAGAACAGGTCGAACGATAAGATGATGAAAGAAACACCAATTAAACAAAATACAGGGATTATCGTTATACATTTAAACGAAATACAGGGATTATCGTTATACATTTAAACGAAATACAGGGATTATCGTTATACATATAAACGAAATTCAGGAATTATCGTTATACATTTCAACGAAATACAGGAATTATCGTTATACATTTCAACGAAATACAGGAATTATCGTTATACATTTCAACGAAATACAAGGATTATCGTTATACATTTCAACGAAATACAGGGATTATCGTTATACATTTCAACGAAATACAGGGATTATCGTTATACTAAGAACGCAGCTCACAGTCGACTACTTTTACCATTAGACCAACATTCTGTCCCGTGGCTTTATGCACCCCGCATAATTTAGCAAAATTTGATCATTTTTTGCATGATTTCAGATTATTTTCCTTTATCATTCTTTGTTAAAATTAACAGAATCGCATAATTTCACATTTTTGGGTAAAGTTTGCATAATTTCATAACTTTTTTTGTAAAAAACCACGGGACAGAACATTGTGAGAAAAGGATTTATACTGTTCAGAGGTACATAGAGAGACTTGTGTGCAGTATTTTTAACTCTTTACATACCAGTTGAAAAAAGCGGTACAATGCTACAAATTTGAATTACATCGCGGCTCAGCTGTAGAGAAGATACAATTGTTAAGAGAACCAAACAGATTATTTAGTCCTGCCTGAAAAACTTTGCTCTCTAGGCTTACAACAGATGAACAGCTTGCCTATGAATAAGAAGACAAAAACATATGATATGAAGATAGAATATATGATATGAAAATAGAACATACAATATGAAAATAGAACATACAATATGAAAATAGAACATACAATAGGAAAATAGAACATACAATATGAAAATAGAACATACAATATGAAAATAAAACATACAATATGAAAATAGAACATACAATAGGAAGACAGAACGTACAATAGAAAGATAGAACATATGATATGAAGACAGAAATAGAACATGCGATATGAAAATAGAATATACAAAAGGAAGATAAAACATGCGATAGGGAGATAGACCATACGATATGAAGAAGGAACAAACAACATATGATATTCAAACAGAAGATACGACACGCAGACAGAAGATTACCACAAAGGTGCCGTCCACGCCGTGCTCTCGGCCCACTGCCACCAGGCTGGTCACACAGCTGAGATGCTCCGACAGGACAAACTTGAGCACAAAGCCAGCCACGCGATTGGTCACCGAATCATTGCCCTGTGGGGGAGATTGGTTAATTCTGTTGACAGTGAAAGATCTTGTCAGTTTGAAAGTGTTTCAGAAAGAGAAATGCTTTTTAGTTTAGTTTTAGCAAGAGTTTTACGGCACTTGTAGCACAATAAGGTAATATAAGTGCCGAAGAATAGATGTGTTACAAGAGAGTAGTAATATACACAAAAAAGGAGGAGGAGAGATAAGGAAGATAGATGTTTTATAGGAAAGAAGGAGCAAACCACACCACAGCACCCACCAACCACACACAGAAATGCTTTCAACTTGAAGGGCTTAGATTACTATTCAAGAATAATGTCTGTAATAAATTTGATAAAAAAGAACAAAACGACAAAAGCAAAAGCCGTACCACCGTCTGATTGCTGTTCTTGGGTAACAGCCCGGAGTCAGGGTCGAGCAACACAGCATACTTGTAGGTGAGCACCTCCAGATCTTGAGGCTTCATGTTCTGCAGAACCTGCACAGCCGCTTCATCAAACCCCCACACATCTAGGAACAAAAACAAAAAAACTAGATAAAGAACTATTTTGGTTTAGTTTTAGTAGAGGTTTTACGGCGTTCGCAACTGCATACTCAATAAGGTCATATGAGCGCCAGAAGATAAGAGGTGTTACAAGAGAGTAACAAACATAAAAAAAAGAAGGATAGATAAGAATGATAATGTTTGATATGAAAGAAGAAGCAAACCACACCAGAGCACCCGCTAACCATCTACAGAACTATTTACTTACATGGGAGGGTGCGGTGGCGGAGCAGTTAATGTGCCGTCTCTGAAGCAGAAAGTTCAGTTTCGAGCATCGGTTCGGACACAGATTTTTTTTGCCCCCTCCTGCCCACCCAGCAGTAATGGGTATCTGACTTCGAGTTGGGGAAGTAAAGGTGGCGTGGAAAGGCCACCCTACCACAATATGCCGAAGGCCCAGGAAATTGTCTCACAAACAAAGCAATCCCCAACATTAACATACCAGTGCCAAACATGGCCTCTAAACAAGGCACAAGAAAGAAAAATGAACGCATGCAAAATGAGGTGTCTCCGCAAAATCATCAACGTAAACAGAAGAGGCCGAATAAGAAACGAAACCATACGTCTACAAACTTGAATACCACCAGTAATAAAATTCATAGAACGACAAAGAGTCAAATGGTTTGGACATAACCAGAATGTCCCAGAAACAACTAGCGGCTGGAGCTTACAACACCCGAGAATCCGGCTTCAAATCAAGAGGAAGACCAAGAAAGACCTGGCTGGATGAGGTTAAAAAGGTCCTGGAACAACATAACATATCTATCACAGACACTACACACCTAGCACAGGACCGAAACCTGCACCTCCCCTCCACATCATAAGGATACCAGAGGAAGGAAAAAGTAAAGTAAAGAACTATTCAATTTACACACCCTTGAACCGAGTTTTTAGTATGAAAAAAAGACAACTGCACTTATCTCTTGGGTGAGATAAATATATATATTA